TTTTTTGGTTTTTTTCGAGACAAGGTTTCTCTGTGTAGCTTTGCGCCTTTCCTGGAACTCACTTGGTAGCCCAGGCTGGCCTCGAACTCACAGAGATCCGTCTGGCTCTGCCTCCCGAGCGCTGGGATTAAAGGCGTGCGCCACCAACGCCCAGCTCCTCCTTCCTTCTTTTCCTTTCTCTGCCTTTTAATTTCCAGGAATGGTTGTTTTTTTTCCCAAGTGGATAACAGGAAGGCACCACACGCTCTTTCACTGCCATGGCCTGAACGCTTCCTTGCCCGCCAGGACAGTCTGTGAGCTCCACGGATGAAAAGGTTGGAGGGCAAAAGCATCTTTTGGAGGGCTGAGTTGGAAAGAGGATGGGTACACTCTACTCTTTGGAGAGTTCCTTGTGGGAAATAAATGTGCTAATTACAATGTGTGTCGAGACACTGCCGAGCTTGGTCAGGGTGTACTGTGGGCGAACCTTGTCAGTGTGACTTGTAGAGAGGCACTGATAGGCGTTTGGCCTTGAAAATATTTTAAGTCTGTTTTTTTTTTCTAGAATGTAATCATGGAATCAGGCAGGATGAACCTGTCACCTCAGGTACTTGGGATGATGAAACAAGTGAATCACATGTTCAAGGCCAGCCTGGGCAACATAATGCAATCCTGTCTGAAGGGAAAAAAAGTCAAAAGACAACTGGAAAGGAATCCCTGCTGCAGTGCCTGCCCTCATGCAGCCCTGGGCTCAGTTCCTGCCGGGCTACTTCATCTGTGAAATGATGGGATTAGACTAGCAAGAGAGGCCCGTTAATGGAAAACCAGCCAAAAGAACAGAATCTGATGCTGGGCACGGGGGGCACATGCCTTTGATGCCAGCACTGGGGAAGCAGAGGCAGGAGGAACTCTGTGAGTTCAAGATCAGCCTGGTTTACATATCGAGTTCCGGGTCAGCCAGGGCTACATAGTAAGACCCTGTCTCAAAACAAAACAAAAACACAACACAGACAGATAACACGAGAGAGGCCAAGGAGGGAGGGAAGGAGAGAGAGAGAGAGAGAGAGAGAGAGAGAGAGAGAGAGAGAGAGAGAGAGAGAGAGAGAGAGAGAGAGAGAGAGAGAGAGGTGAATTTCTGGCCTACCCTATGTGGAGCCCTAACAATCCAGTAGAACAGTGTCAATTACCTGGCCAAGGGACCCCTAGGAAGAAGGGTCTACTTAAACCATGCTGAAGAGACCATTGTCCTTCAATGAGACGCTATATTGTTCTCTCCCAGATTCCTGCCCCTGGTGGTGGTGGTGGGGCCCTTAAGCCGAGCCGAGCAGCGCTGAGGATCTGGAGACTGTACACTTCTGAGTGCAACCTTTCCGTTTCTTTCTCTTCTTTCTGTTGCTGGCCTGAACTCGGGATGCTTTCTCTGACACTTTGGGCTTCCTAACTCTCTCTGCAGCCCCCTTCCCTGCCATGGGGCTGCTTGCCTCCTTGTGAAGGACCAAAGCCACAACTTTTTTCCTTCTCTCTCCCATTCTCCTCCTCCAGGCAGATGCTGAGGTTTTTTAAACTCTAATAAAATTGTCATCGAGCTTCCATTTGAAAATTATTTTATTAAGAAGGCAAAGAACCCCAAAGGGGACCTCGATCTTCCCAGAGTCCCTAGTGCTCTTTCTACTCTCAAGGGAGTAGATCCAGCCCTCTGGGAAGCCTCTCCAGCAGCCTGTGGGCACTCAGGAAGTGTTAAAGTCCAGATCTTTCTTTTGAAATACAGCTGTGGAGTCAAGAGAATGAAGCCAAAGAAATGAGGATCCAGGGTTATGTCCCCTCGAACGACCTTGTCCTCGGGAGACCACAGCTTCCTCCTACAGAACCTGCACAGGAGAGCAGTCAGGTAGAGGCGGGGTCACAAGCACAGGGAAGTTGCTTAGTCAGAAATGGGCCTGAGGGTCCCTGTGTCCCAGGTCCCCCCCTCAAGCCTGCCCAAACCTTGAGGGCCTTGTACTTCCTGTTTACACTGCTGGGAACTCAGATGGTCCCTTGATTTCCTCCTTCAGCTCAAGTGTCATTCTCTCAAGGACACAGTCACTATCTGATCTGAATCCATTAGAACTCTGGCCTTCCTTGGACTCTGTAACGCCTTATCTTGTTTATTTTTGAGGCCAGTTCTCACTAGTAGTCCAGTCTGGCCTTGAACTTTCTCTCCTTCTGCTATAGCCTCCAGGTGTGACCTGCCTCCAGGTCAAACCCCTTATCTTGAATGGGTCATCTTCATGTCCCCATCCCCCACCCCTGCCCGGAGCTGAGGACCGAACCCAGGGCCTTGCCACTGAGCTAAATCCCCAACCCCTTTGACTGGGTTTTTCCTCTGTTACTTTTCTTCTTTTTCCTTTTCTTTGTGTTTTTGAGACAGGGACTCACTATGAAGCCTTGGCTGTGCTGAAACACACAGGTACCTGCCCACCTCTGCTTCTCAAGTGCCGGGATCAAAATCAGGCACCACCACACCCCACTCCTGATGCTCACCACTGACCTCTCCCACTAGACGGCAACAGCCATCAAGAGGGCATGGATAATGAATTTCCAAAGCAAGTGCAATGAAATGTTTGCTGAATGATGAGAAGGTGCCTATATTATAGGTATGAAATGACAGTATTTCAATTTTATGACCTACTTGGCGCGCGTGTGTGTGTGTGTGTGTGTGTGTGTGTGTGTGTGTGTGTGTGAAGATCATAAGACAACTTGTGGGAACTGGTTCTCTCTTTCTACCATGTGACTTCCAGGGACTCAGGTTAGGTTGTCAGCCAGGCTGGGGGGAAGCTTGTTTAGCAGTTGGGTCGTGTCTCTGGCTCAATAAACGATCCGTAGTTTTTCTAGGACTTGAGATTACAGCGTGGGCTCCCCAGATCAACTTTTTCACTTCTGATCTTTTTTTTTTTCTTTTTTAAGATTG